ATTCCTGGTGCTCAGGCACCACGAGCCCATATAACCTGCCGCCCCTGTATTCATAAGCATATTTCCATATGGAGTGCAACATCACAGTGAATGTACCATAACTGTGTATTTTCAGGTGTTCAGAAGTTTGAATTTGCTGAACTTGGTGTTCTGGAAGGACATGAGATATCGCCAGGCAACCAGATCTCTGTGGTAATGAAGTGGTTTTTGTTAATGTATTTCCTAGGGTATTTAAAAAAAAAAAAACAAAAGGAAGGAGAAAAGTTGTTGGTAAGAGTTAGTAGAGTCGCAAAGAGACTTTGACACCTATCACTTTAAGTGCCTAAGCCCAAGAATCAGATCCCACTGGGATACACAAACTCCCACTCGGCTGCCTCTGAACCCTGTAGGTGCATATACTTGCTCAGAGCCCAACTTTCCACCCTAAAAGTTCCCTAGGTGCCTATGATTCTGCCTCCAGGCAGGCACTGCAGCCCCACACCGGGCTTCTGGGTGGCTGTCTCCTGCCCAGACCTGTTGCAATGCACAAAGCAGGGGAGGACAGGTGCAGGAGAACCTACCTTGCCTGTGGGACCTCATCTGATAGTGTTACCCTGGCACTCATCCCCACCCAGCACAGGAGGGCTGGCTGTAGGCCACTGATAGATGTTGGGGCACTCAGCACTTGCATAAAAAGCAGCTGGGGGCCAAAGGTCAGCACAAAGGGAGGGGCAGAAAGAAAAAAAAACAAAAACACAGTTGATCCTTCCAGTGAGCAGATGGACTATCCAACTGTCGGGATATTTGATCGGGGTGGGCATGGGTTAATGGTGCAGGTGGGTAGGTAGTCATTCAACTGAAGGGTGCCAGGTGAAGATGAGAATAAAACAAACAGATTTGGCTAAGCTGAAAAGTGCAAATTGTGGAACATGCACATGAAACCCTCTTTTGGGAACGACACCTTCACTTTCCACTAGAGGTTCACAACATCTGTGTAAAATGACAAGAGAAATTTCCCTGAGCTGATGTCTCTAAAGCATCTTCTAAAATCATCAATACATTTATTATGATCTTACTGTAATATCTATGCTGCAAGTAATTACTCAATCCTTTATCACGTAAAACTGTACAAAATGATGCCATAATCTTATTTCACCTTAACTCGGGGGTACAATTGGGGTTATATATTTTAAAAACAGCTCCACAGGTGACCCTGGCAACTACAGGCCAGTAAGCCTCACTTCAGTACCGGGCAAATTGGTTGAAACTATCGTAAAGATCAAAATTGTCAGACACATAGATAAACATAATTTGTTTTGGGAAATAGTCGACATGGTTTTTGTAAAGGGAAATCATGCTTCACCAATCTACTAGAATTCTTTGAGCACACGGACCGGGGGGATCCAGTGGATATAGTGTATTTAGATTTTCAGAAAGCCTTTGACAAGGTCCCTCATCAAAGGCTCTTAAGCAAAGTAAGCTGTCATGGGATAAGAGGGAAGGTCCTCTCATGGATTGGTAACTGGTTAAAAGTTAGGAAACAAAGCATAGGAATAAATGGCCAGTTTTCAGAATGGAGAGAGGTAAATAGTTGTGTCCCCCAAGGATCTGTACTGGGACCAATCCTATTCAACATATTCATAAATGATATGGAAAAAGGGGTAAACAGTGAGGTGGCAAAATTTGCAGATGATACAAAACTACTCAAGATAGTTAAGTCCCAGGCAGACTGTGAAGACCTACAAAAGGATCTCACAAAACTGGGTGACTGGGCAACAAAATGGCAGATGAAATTTAATGTTGATAAATGCAAAGTAATGCACATTGGAAAGCATAATCCCAACTATACATATCAAATGATGGGGTATAAATTAGCTGTTACCACTCAAGAAAGAGATCTCAGAGTAATTGTGGATAGTTCTCTGAAAACCATCCACTCAATGTGCAGCGGCAGTCAAAAAAGCAAACAGAATGCTGGGAATAATTAAAAAAGGGATAGATAATAGGACAGAAAATATCATCTTGCCTCTATATAAATCCATGGTATGCCCACACCTTGAATACTGTGCAGATGTGGTCGCCCCATCTCAAAAAAGATATATTGGCAGGGCTGTCCCTACCATTTCTGGTGCCCTACACATCCCAAGCACATGCCCCCCCTCTGCGTGGGTGGGAGGGCTGTGCTCAAGGGCTGCGAGGCCATGGGGGCAGGAGCAGGGCAGGGAGGCTCACTTAAGAAAGGGGGGGCAGGCGGGAGGCTGCGAGTGGCGTGGTTCTGGGCAACTGCCCCAGGCCCCAGGGCTTTGTCAAGCGGGGCCTTAAAAACATCTAAGGACGACGAGTCCACCACCTCCCTAGGTAACCATTCCAGTGCTTCACCACCCTCCTAGTGAAATAGTGTTTCCTAATTTCCAACCTAGACCTCCCCCACTGCAACTTGAGACCATTGCTCCTTGTTCTGTCATCTGCCACCACTCATCTTCCTTCAGAGAAAGAGAGAATGTGTGTGGGAAGGGTTGGGGAGGGTTAGGAGAATAAACACCTGGAAGAAGAAATAAGAGATTTATTTCCAAATAGGGACTTGTCACTTGCTGCTTCAGTGATTGCTAAAATGTAGTGACGTCACCTACCTGGGTAAGTAGAAAATAAACATTAATGAGAGACTGAGACTAGTTCACTTTGTTTCCTTCTTTGGACTTGGTGCCACTTAGCAGGTAATAGCCTGTGGCATTTGCACGTCTCTGCTCTTTTGGCTGATGTCTGGCTCCTTTGCCTTGCTCAGCTGTGAGACTCCTGCTGCTCAGGGGTGCTGGAACAGGGGGCGAGGGAGGGCAGGTCACTTTTAAAAGAGTGGGGGCTTTTTGAAAGCTTGCCTCTCCCCCCAACAGAAGTTGGTCCAATAAAAGATATATTAGCTCACGCACCTTCATGAGTGGTGGGTGTAATAGGCCAGGAGCGACCACGTTAGCTCTCTGAAAGGACAAAGTCATATAGAACTCACACATTCCTATCTGAAACAAGGAATGATTGAAATCACAATTGTTGGATTCCTCTGGATGAAATGTACTGTGCGAATACTGATGGTTGTTCAGGGATGGCCACTTGAAAAGAGGCGATGAGTCTCTTGTAACTTACCCTGAGCTACAGTGTAGCCGTCTCCCTTCTTCCCTGCAGAGAAAAGGCAAATTTCAGTGAATGCAGCTCCCAAGGTAGGAACCAACTCCGATCTGTGTCCACAGCTCAGAAACAGGGCCCCTGGCCCAGCACAGCCCCCTGGCGCTCAGTAATGGACTCAAGGTCCCAGGCGCTCATAATTGGCAGGAGAGAAAGACACAATGAGACAGAGTTTCCAAAGAACTCAGCCCACTGGGTGCTGAGCTCTTTGGAAAAAATCTAGCCTCATATAAACTGTAACCCATATCCAGTTTCTGGGTCTGGCCCTCCAGCACCTCCCATGGGGTATCACTAGCTCAGTCCCGCAGTGGGGCAGTTACACCATACTGACACTCCTGTATTGCTGTTGTCCTTAGGGGTATGTGCAGGGCCCGGCAAGTCCAGGGAATCCCCCCATCCCAGGCTCTTTACCTGGGCGTTTCTTTTTCCAGACGACTACTCCGATTATAACACCAATCAGGACAACTGCAGTGATAACTCCAGCCACAATGGGAATCAGATTGTTATTTGGTGCTGAAATGAAATGGAGAGAATGATCAATGGGGAAAAATCTCCCCTCTCCCCCCCGCACTTAAACCCTCTTTCATCCCACTGCAGGGATCAATCAGTCGGCTCCCCAGATAAGGACTGAGTCCTGCAACCCTTCACCCCTTCCAATGAGTTCCATGCACAGCATTGCACCCCACCATAGAAAGTCCTGAACACAGCCTCTACCACTTCAGTGTCTATCAGGGATGGTCTAGACAGTATTTGGTCCTGCCATGAGGGCAGGGGACTGGACTCGATGACCTCTCGAGGTCCCTTCCAGCCCTAGAATCTATGAATTCATAATAAATATGTAGCACTTAAAATAGAAGACTTTTATAACATTAATCAATCGTCATACACCTCTGTGTGGGGGAGGATGGATGTCAGTATCATCCCTAAATTGGAGGGGAAAAGCGAGTCAGTGCAAGAGCCAAGGACAGAATCCAGGAGTCCTGGCTCACAGCCCCTAACCCCCCTTGACCACACTGACTTTTATGACTAATGGAACACAGTCCCATTGTGTGATTCTGGTGACAAACTGGAAACTGACCTCAAAGCTCTGGATTTCCCAGCCATGAATGGAGTTACAGACACAATGCATGTTTTTTGGAGGAGGCAGAAATTGAACAGGAGAGGACAGAGATATTTTAATACTGTTCTTGGTTTACATAAACCTGTTAAACCTCAAGTTCTCTATACACATTTAGTTTCACTAATTATCTTATCCTGTTGTCTGAAAGAGGCACATAATAATACAGCAAAAAGAAAAATATTTCTAAGAGAATAAGGAAATGTGGTTTATGAGACAAAAATTGGCAGGGAACGTGGTAGCAACATTATGATGTGAAACTATCTTTTGACTAGATTTCCAGTGCAGGCTGCCCTTTTAGAAATTGTTTGCACTTCCAAATGCTGCATTTTTCCACATCCCGATTAACCAAGCAAAAAGATGGGAGGAAGGCAGCTCCATGTGTAAAAAATTCTTCCTTGACTTTCTTGTGCTAGGGGCATAGGAGACTCTCCCCACTGATGCAGGGCTCCAATCTGCCTCCTTGCTCCATTCCAAGGCCATACCCTCTCTTCCAGCATCACTGCACACAGAAACAAGCTGCTCCCAACATTAAACATCTCTCTCTGGCCACATGGACAAGAATGAAGGACCCGTAGAGCCATATTTCTGAGAACCTGCTGGATCATAGGACTGGAAGGGACCTCGAGAGGTCATCTAGTCCCGTCCCCTGCACTCATGGCAGGACCACGAGTGCATGAAGTTGAGACCGGGCTGCAAGCTGAAGCAAGACCAATTCTGTCTGGAAATAAGGGGCAGATTTGAGCTTTCCCTGGGATGTGGTAAATTCTTCATCTCTTGGAGACTTTACATCTGGAATGGGCATCTCTTTCTGAAGGGTCAGATCTAGTTTGCCCACAGATGACCAGACTGGATGCTGGGGTCCCTGATGTGATTCCCCCCTGCCCTGGGCTATGCAGGAGCTCAGATCAGATGATTAGAATGGTCCCTTCAGGCCTTAATGTCTCATTGTTAATCTTCTAGCTTCAGAGACACCGTATTGCTGAGATGTATCCAACAGCCCCAAAGGCAGAAAACTGGAGAGCAAGACATGAGCCCCAGGCACTGCAGGTCCCAACTCTAGCACAAGAACTTGACTGCAGAGGGACAGGGCCAAAGAGGAAAGGGCCTCACAGACCCTGAGGAAATTCCAGCTTCAGTCTATTAATCTGAATGAGAATTTTTCAGGGGTTGAGTTTAATGGATTCCCCCTCCCCCACTAGGAAAACAGACAAACACACAAACTCCTTACCCCAGGAGACAGAGAATGGCTCTAACAGGCTTTCATGCTCCACGTGACATGAATAATGGGCTTTGATCTTGGGATCAATCTCCATTGTCAACCAGGTCTGGTAGGTCCCATCCCCACTGGGTAGGATGCCTTCAGAGTAGGTCTCTTGCTGTCTGCTCTCCCCATTTTTGAGCCAGGTCACCGTGATGTCCTGGGGGTAGAACCCACTGACCTTACAAGAGAGGGTGCTGAGGCCATCATGAGATGACCTGTCACTCACTCTAGCAGTTGGGCGCACTGGGAAAAAGAAGAAATTGAAATTAGTTGTTTTCAAGCTCTAATCCAGGCAGTCTTTGCTGGAGTTTTGCAGCATGAAATTCTGAGACCCCAGCAGTGGGAGAGGATGAGAGTCCAGGAGACAGAATCCCTCTGATGAGAGAGAACCACCACGTTAGAGGATTTCTGTGCCAAATTCACAGCATCAGCAATGGTGAACCCCGAATCCAGGTCCCTGACCAGATTCTATGAGTGTGGTAACCAGAAGCCTCTGTTCCCAGCCACAGTGACACAAGTACCTTGAAAGGCTTCACTAAGCTCCAGATACAGGTGTCAATCATGTCCTACGTTTGTGCCCATCTCCTCTCAGTCCCTGGATTTGAAAGAGAGAAGAATCTTGCCCTGGCCAGGGAGCAGAAAATGAACTAGATAAACTGACCAATTAGAAATGGAAAGGACCATTAAACAAAAAAATGACACACGGCTGTAAACTGGCCCTCAAACTAGCTAATATTAATTGGCTAATTTCTTGTAGGTTGTTAACAAAACTATTTACCCAATATTATGGATTTCAAAAGGATTTACACATGTGGAAAAATCAGTTTCCCAGCCTCTTGGCACTGAAATACACATTACACTGCTGTGTATAGCTTTTTCTTGTTGGCATTTGTAAAGATGGCCAAGAACAAGATCATGTTCTGCTGAGGTTTGTGAGAGAAATAAGCAACTAGTACACCTCTACCTCGATATAACGCTGTCCTCGGGAGCCAAAAAATTTTACCGCATTATAGGTGAAACCATGTTATATCGGACTTGCTTTGATCCACCGGAGTGCACCACCACCTCCCCACCCCGGGATGCTGATTTACCGTGTTATATCCGAATTCGCGTTATATCAGGGTAGAGATGTATAACTGTTGCAAAAAACTGGGTACAAAATTCAAGTAACCTTGAACAGCAAGTGCAAACAGTTTGGGAAGGGAAAGATTAGGGTGTCTAATGATGCTAACTAATTTGGGAAATTGGTAACAGACAAGGTACATACATGGGAAATAGTGAGTTAACATTTTGAAGCAGATTATGCTGCAACTAATCAGTTCTGAATCAGTGTGGTAAAGCATTTAACCTCTTCCCTTCTATGTTTGTGCTGATTAATCTTTAACTAAAAAGCTTTGGTAATAAATGTGACTGAGTGTGATTATCTGATGTCTTATTGATAAAAGAATCAAGTAATAAGTATGAAAGTGTTGCAGCAAAGGTAGGTCTTGAGGGGGGAAAACTTTGAGGACAAGGGTAACATTCTTCCAGGTTAGTATGGCGAGGGCAATTCCACATGTAGGGGATGGCATGGAAGGAAGCACATAGATGACTGTGGGAGAAGTTTGGACAAAGAGGCAACAATAACAAAGCTACCGTCATTGGCGGAACACAGGGGATGGGGGTAAGACACTAAATATGATGGTATAGCGACAAAGAGTCCTGTGGCACCTTATAGACTAACAGACGTGTTGGAGCATGAGCTTTTGTGGGTGAATACCCACTTCGTCAGATGCATGGGTATTCACCCACGAAAGCTTATGGTCCAATACTTCTGTTAGTCTATAAGGTGCCACAGGACTCTTTGTCGCTTTTTACAGATCCAGACTAACACGGCTACCCCCCTGATATATGATGGTATAGACGGTGAATGAGGAAGAATTACATGGTGAATGAAGCTGGTGTCCATAGAAGTGGTGGCACTTCCTTAATTAAACAAAGTGCTCTAAAATGCACATGCACAGGCAGATTGCCTTGATAACTACTGTGTTACATCAGGGGAAGAGATAGAATTTGTGCTGTAAATTTGGGCTCATTAGGTCAGCTTCTCTACAGTGAGCTGCTTTTAACATTTTCAATTTCTTATCTTTTTTCCCCAGCAGAGCTAGGGGGGAGAGAGGGGTTGTTTCCCCACCCATCCATGGTGTAAGGTTAGCTGAACTCCCTACTCCATTTTGGAACTGGGGCTGGGAAATAGAGATGTAACTTGTAGTGACTTCCTAGGTGGGGCTTGTCCCCCAGCCTTACCTTTCCTCTGTAGAGTCTCCTTCCCGTACTCTAGAGAACTCCTTAGCCAGGAAATACATTCCTCTTCCAGGTAGTGTTTCCACCACTGGTTGTCAAATACTTCAGCATCCCATCTCCTCTTGGTGATCTGAGCCCCAATATCTGCTGCTACCCAAGTCATGGTCTCCTTATCGAAGGTAAGAAAGTCTCGTCCATCATATGAATCCTGGTAAAACCCCCAAGTGATGTTATCTTCCCGGAGATCACAGCCGGTTATCATTTGGATAATGTGAAACCCTGAAACACAGCTGAGGGTCAGCAGCAGCCTCTCTCTGAAAATCTCACCAAGACCCCACTGCAGATAGCCCAGTGGTTCTTCTCCTTGCTACTGGACCCTCCCTCCCCTGAGAAATGGGGTTCACACTTATACTGTTGGGTCCTACACCCTCCCAGCTCCTTTCAGGAGGGAATCCAAACCCACAGGGGGCACCCTCTTCATCCGTTGGGTCTTGCACACTAAAGACCCCCCGCTGCATAGAGCTCACAACCTTCAAGGAGTACCTCACTGCTGTTTGTTCTTGTATGATCCCTGCAGGGGGTGCAGGGCGGCACGACCCCAAAGGGAGTACTCCGGATATTGCAGGGGTCTATCCCCTCCAGCTCTCTTCTGCTGTCTGAGGATCCCCCCCAGTTCTGGTAGTCAGGGTCATTTTAGGAAAGAGAGGGAGTGCAGGGTGTCTGTATCCCACTCTCTCCTGTTCTGGTTGTATTAATTTTGCAGGTCCACAGGGTCACTTGGTCCCCCACGTCCTCCATTCACAGTACCCCCATGTCCCTGTGGGGAGGGGGTACAGGTCTGTCTCCCACACTAACTTCTGCTCTGATTTAATGACCTTACAGAATCCCCAGGTCACTCTGTTTCCCCACCCCATCTTCCCCGTGCCCCCAACTCAATCTAGGAATGGCAACAAACCAACTTCGGATGCTTGGCCTCTTTTTCACGTGGCCATTGTCTCAAGGTTCCCTGTAAGGATGAGAACATTGACGGCCCTTAGTTCAGCTGGCCACCATTTTCCTACAGCCAGGCTAATCTTCACAACAACGGCCACCATCTTGCACACAACCAAGACCAGGCTTAGTTTATACAGCCACCCCTGGGCTGAGAGGAGGCAGGGAGGGAGACGTGGGGGGGGGGGAACACTGTGATGGGGACAGTAAGGAGAATTTAGGGGACAAGGAGGGAACGGATCAAATCCCTAGCCTGGCAAATAGGGCAGAATGTGGGGGCACAAAAATAATCCACACAGGATCCCAAATATTTTCACCCTTCCCCCCGCCTGCATTAGATACATTGAGGTAAACGCCTAGATTTTCAGCAATGACTAGTGATTTTGGGTGCACAACTGAGACCTTTTAAAGGGGCCTGATCAGAACGTGGGAGCATCCGGCCTCTGCATATCAGACACCCAAAAATCACTAATCACTTCAGGAATAATGTAGGCCAAGGGATTAAAATACAATTTGGTGTTACAGACATAGGTGAGAGCCAAGCCCACTAAGCTGTGTCCCTGAATAATGCCACAGGTTTGGACAAAAACCAGTTACTAACCTTCCTGTAATGGTTGTTCTTAGAGATGTGTTGCACATGTCCATTCCACGCTAGGTGTGCGTGCCCCACACACAGTCGCCAGAAACTTTTCCCTCAGTGATACCCCTCAGGCCAGCTCTAGTGCCCTCTAGTGCAGCACTCTCATGTTGTGGTGCCAGGGGATCAGTTGACACCGCACCTTCTCAGTTCCTTCTCGCCAGCAACTCCAACAGAGGGGTAGGACGGTGGCTCATAGAATCGACATGTGCAACACATCTCAAAGAACAACAGTTACAGAAACTTTAGTAAAGGACAGTTACCTGTTGGCAGCCGGTTTCAAGCGCAGTGCTCCAAGGGTCGGTCCTGGGGCCGGTTTTGTTCAATATCTTCATTAATGATCTGGAGGATGGCGTGGACTGCACTCTCAGCAAGTTTGCAGATGACACTAAACTGGGAGGAGTGGTAGATACGCTGGAGGGTAGGGATAAGATACAGAAGGACCTAGACAAATTAAGAGGATTGGGCCAAAAGAAACCTGATGATGTTCAACAAGGACAAGTGCAGAGTCCTGCACTTAGGACGGAAGAATCCCATGCACTGTTACAGACTAGGGACCGAATGGCTAGGAAGCAGTTCTGCAGAAAAGGACCTAGGGGTTACAGTGGACGAGAAGCTGGATATAAGTCAACAGTGTGCCCTTGTTGCCAAGAAGGCTAATGGCATTTTGGGCTGTATAAGTAGGGGCACTGCCAGCAGATCGAGGGACGTGATCATTCCCCTCTATTCGACATTGGTGAGGCCTCATCTGGAGTACTGTGTCCGGTTTTGGGCCCCACACTACAAGAAGGATGTGGAAAAATTGGAAAGAGTCCAGCGGAGGGCAACAAAAATGATTAGGGGGCTGGAGCAAATGACTTATGAGGAGAGGCTGAGGGAACTGGGATTGGTTAGTCTGCAGAAGAGAAGAATGAGGGGGGATTTGATAGCTGCTTTCAACTACCTGAAAGGGGGTTCCAAAGAGGATGGATCTAGTCTGTTCTCAGTGGTACCTGATGACAGAACAAGGAGTAATGGTCTCAAGTTGCAGTTGGGGAGGTTTAGGTTGGATATTAGGAAAAACTTTTTCACTAGGAGGGTGGTGAAGCACTGGAATGGGTTACCTAGGGAGATGGTGGAATCTCCATCCTTAGAGGTTTTTAAGGTCAGGCTTGACAAAGCCCTGGCTGGGATGATTTAGTGGGGAATTGGTCCTGCTTTGAGCAGGGGGTTGGACTAGATGACCTTCTGAGGTCCCTTCCAACCCGGATATTCTATGATTCTATGGTTCCATAACTGGTGTTCTTTGAGATGTGTTGCTCATGTCTATTCCACAGTAGGTGTGCGTGCTCGCCATGTGCACCAGTGCCAGAAGTTTTTCCCTCAGCAGTATCCGTAGGGGGAGCGCCACTGCGACCCCTGGAGTGGTGCCGCTATAGATTCATAGATTCTAGGACTGGAAGGGACCTCGAGAGGTCATC